CATTCATCTGTATAAATGGAATTCACCCTAGAAACTTCTCAAACTTCTCTTATATATGGCAAAGCATGAATGACACATGACATTGCTTCTACTTGATCGTTTGTGCTGCAGGAGAATGGTGGGATGCTGATGTAGAAGAAGTAGAGAAACAAGGAAACGCATTGGGTATTCCACCTAATATGTCTGATGCTCACACAATCAACGGAAAGCCAGGGCCTCTTTTTCCATGTTCTGAGAAACGTAAGATTGGCATTGACTGGAGCATTTCAACCCTGTTGTATGAGAACAAATGTGGTTGTTAAGAATGTTTGCCTCCAATATCATTTTAATATTTGAATTTCTTTTTCAGATACTTTTGCCATGGAAGTGAAAAAAGGGAAGACATACCTGTTGAGAATTGTCAACGCTGCTCTCAATGATGAGCTGTTTTTTGCCCTGGCTAATCATACTTTCACAGTAGTAGAAATTGATGCAGTTTACACGAAACCATTCAGCACAGAGGCCATTCTGATTGCACCAGGGCAGACTACAAACGTTCTGGTTCGTGCCAACCAAGTTCCAGGAAGATACTTCATGGCTGCAAGGGCATTCATGGATGCTCCAATCTCTGTGGATAACAAGACTGCTACTGCTATATTCCAGTACAAGGGAATCCCAGAAAGTGTACTTCCAAAACTTCCAAGCTTGCCAGCACAAAATGACACAGACTTTGCTTTGACCTATAACTCTAAACTCAAAAGCCTAAATACCCCTAAATATCCAGCAAACGTTCCCCTAAATGTTGATCGACACCTCTTGTTTACAGTAGGCCTAGGAATAAATCCTTGTCCCACCTGTCTAAATGGAACTCGGCTAACGGCTTCTCTCAACAACATTACCTTTAGCATGCCACAAACTGCACTTCTTCAAGCTCATTACTTCAACATTAAGGGTGTATACACTCCAGATTTCCCAGACAAACCACCTACTCAATTCAATTTTACAGGGGCACCTCTTACAGCCAACCTAAGGACAAATCTAGGCACAAGGCTTAATAAGATTGCTTTCAATTCCACTATCGAACTAGTTATCCAAGACACCAACTTGTTATCGGTGGAATCACATCCTTTCCATCTCCATGGCTACAATTTCTTTGTGGTTGGAACTGGTGTCGGAAACTTTGACCCCAAAAAGGATCCAGCAAAATACAACTTGATTGATCCAATAGAAAGAAATACTGTAGGTGTTCCAACTGGCGGTTGGACTGCTATTCGATTCAGAGCTGATAATCCAGGTACCAAGATTACAATCAAGATACTTAGTTAATGAACATTTCTATTGCTGCATAATCTATTCTTAACATATCCGTATTTTTGTGAAGGGGTCTGGTTTTTTCACTGTCATCTGGAGTTGCACACAGGATGGGGACTGAAAACAGCATTTTTAGTGGAAGATGGGCCAGGATCAGATCACAATATTCTTCCTCCACCAAAGGATCTTCCACACTGCTAATTTGACAAGGCTTTCTTTTTCATCTGTACAGAAGGGATTTTGTGTGCAGGTTTATACAATTCGTTTATGGGTGTGCCATAAGGAAGCAAAAGGCTTCGAGGATGATCATACACATTTCAGAAAGTGTGCGTAGGAAAATTATGCAAAATTGAAAAAAGGAGTTTCTATCAAGAAAATTAAGGGGATTGGTTTGTAATTTGAGTTGTAATAAAGGTCCACACATAAAAATGTGTTTTTGGACTTCTGTTCTTATGTATTTCCTGCTTCATCTAATATCTAGCTACACGTTGAATTGAAATACAATCTGTTGATACTCGCTTTTGACTTGACAGATTTATCAACCATAGCAAACCTGAATAAATCCATAATTCTTTCTTTCAAGTTTTCAAACCCCCTAATTTGAGTTCAAGAATGCAGTTATATATGCAGCATGGTCTCAGAATTTACAGATTGCAAAGGCGGTTACATGAAAGTTATATATATACACACACACACACACCAGGTAACCCTTTCTTCCTAGATTTTTTAAAACTTAGTTTGGACCGTCCGGTCATATTCATAAGAAAGATTAATATGACTGTTTCCTGGAAAACAAAGAACTTGAGATGAGGTACCCAGAGAAGAAGCATAGCAGAGTAATTGCATGTGGAAATCTGTAGCACAAGATGCCGCAATCAAACTAAGGAAGAAAAATTGCAGAATCGAAATGTAACTCAAAAGCTTACCTCATTAATGCTTTCGCAATAATCTGACAGAAACATATATACAACATCATCGCTAGACTTCGGTATTCAAGTTCCCAGCTAATCAAGAATTAGTCTCTTCCATTTTCTCTCAGTACTAATAAGAAGCATATGTGCACCAATTCTGAATACTCAAAGGATATCTGCGCCCTAACGAAAATTTAAGGAATAATATTTGGCTTTTTGCTTCGTAAATTTACATCAAGTTTTAGATTAGTTTTTATGTTCTACGTTGCCCCAATTGCTCTTTGATGTGTTGAAATATGTATTTGAGGAGGTTGAGATTGAAAATAGAACTTTAATATGAGTTGGAAACTAATGTAAGGGGCTAGAGATTTTAACAAGTGAAATATGCTTAATTTAAGAAACATATAAGTCATAGAAAGAATTTGATCATGATTTCTAAAGGGAAATTGTAGCCTTTGAAATTCATTTTCCAACAGTTTGAATGATTTGTCCTTCAACTTTTCTTTACAAAATTAAAAGTTATGATAATTTTACTCAAAGTGAGCAATGAGCACTATTGAAAGATGAGAGCACGCATTTTTATTTAATCGTATTCAAAGTAGATATTTTACAAAACTATTGCAAGTTTCTATCCTTTGCAAGCTAACAAAACTTATTCTTCATTATATTTTTGAGAATTGGTAATTGTATTAATAAAATTAAATTTTCAATGTTTTGGTGGACGCCTTATAAAACTCATGATCCAATGAAACAACAAATAAAATTTTAAAAAATTAGTAACGTACAATAATATTTTTTAAATGAAAGTGTTCTTATTAATTTGACTGAATTTCACATATCTATTACTTTAACATGTATTATATATGACCATAATTTGTAAACTCTTATTTACTTTAAGTTTTTGATAATCTAGACGTGAAGAATTTATAAATGTTTTTGTGCATAGGTTTAGTTTCTTTTTCTTTCTAATTTATAATAGGGATTTTGACCTATTTATGCTACATTATAAACTTATTTACCCCTCATAGAAAGGTTATTACTTAATTATATTTAGCATATACAATTTATCATTTATATACAAAATAATATATTAGATTCCAATCTTATCCATTTTAATTTTTCTCTATTTTCCTTCTCTTTATAGATGTTTCTCTCTCTGCTCCTCTTCGAATCGGCTTTTGCAGATGAACATGCTCGGAGCTTTGAAGAATGGTGAAGAAAAATAATTCAACTCGTTAAAAGCCATAGAATATATACATAAATCGCCAATACAAATGGGTTATCGAATTTATTTTTAGATGAATAAACAAGAAATTGTCAACAATAGTACTGTTTGAAACTAAACTGAAATTAATTGACAGTGTAATTGAAACTAAATTGAAGTTGGTCGTGTATCATGAGCTTAAACTACATTGATAGCCATTAGAAAGCTTATAAGCTTTGAATTCGAAAATTAGAATTTGCAAAATTATTTTTTGTTTGGATTGTTGTTGCAAATGATTGGGAATATCTTTTGAAGTTTATATCTCAATTTTGAGAGAATTTAGTGAAGATTCGAGATGGTTTTGGTTGGAATTACAGATTGAAACTCGAAAAAGAAGACATAAACAAATTGTATATATTTTGTATATCGAGTGTAAAAATATTATATAAAATATCTACAACTTACATAATTGTATATAAGTTGTATATAAATTGTAGGTTTTGGCCGAATTCTGTACAAAAAATTTATATTTAAGTCGTAGATAAATTATAGATTTTGACAAAATTTATATATTTTTTATAAAAAACTTTAGTTATTTTCTATAAATATAAAAACTTAGACAAACCAGATAAATAAGTTTAAAGTTCTGTATATATGCGAAAATTCTAAACCTTGGGAGTACTTATCAATTATCCAATGTTTCAGTTTAGAGGTGTTAGACGGTAACATTTGTTTAAAAAAATTAAGCGAGACAAAATCAAATAGAAAATAAACTATTGAGATACAAGCAAATGCAAATGCTGTTACTTAGCCACTTGGGCTTCTTTTCTTCTTTTATCTTCTTTCTCTCATTATTGGGCCCAAAAGCCCACTATGTATTTATCTTAGGCATTGTAATTAGTTGTGTTGTGTATATAAAGACTGGGTCGACCCATCTCATTGGGTAAGAAGGAAAATAAAAATTGTATAGACTCTTTCTGATTCTCTCAGTGAAATACAAGGAAAACCTAGAAGCTTCCATTTTTCTTTCAACTATCTCACCACGAACTTAGACAAAACCTCAATAATTTACGCTTGAATCAAGTTTTAATATTGCATCAGAGCCAGATCTAGATAGATCAGGTGATTACCTCTCGTCCAATGTTACCCTCACACTTTTTCATCGGAGTTTTGAGTTTCCGTTGTTCCTTCGTGTTTTGAGCTTTTTCGGCGAGGTTTTCCGGGATTGACGATGAAATTAGTGCACTTCTACTAGCATTTGAATATTTCTGGTGATTGATCGAATTTATTTGGAGTTTTCTGAGAAGTCTTCATCAACCTAGATTTTGGTGGTTTTGTTTCTCTGCAACTGCACATTCAGCTAGGGTTTGCTTGTCTTCGTCATTAATTTTTTCTACAAGGTCGTATTCCTTCTGGTCGCGAAAGGAAGTTTGGTAACCCTAGTCATCTCTTCTCATTGTTTGATTGTGTGTGTATTCTTTTCTCTGATTAATTATGTACAAAATGCCGACTAATGATGTTTCCTCATCTGCGTTACCAATTGCTCGTCCTACTACCTCTCATTCTATTTTTCACGAGGATGATTATACATATCCATGTCATCCTTTTATATGCATACGTCTGATGTTTTAAGGTCTTCATTAGTTTCTCTACTTTTTGATGGTACTGGGTATGGGAGTTGGAGACGAACCATCCTTATGGCTTTGTCTGTTAGAAATAAACTGGATTTCATTAATGGATCCTCAGTTAAGCCTCTTAACATTTCTCCCTTGGCGAGACAATGGCAGAGGTGTAATGATTTGGTGGTCTCTTGGTTAACCAACTCCCTGTCCAAAGATATTGCTCGTAGTGTTGAGTACTCTGAACTTGCCAAAGATATTTGGAGTGAGTTGGAGGAAAGATATGGTCATGCAGATGCTGCAAAGGTATTTGAGCTTAAGAAAGATCTAGCTCACATCTCACAAGGGTCACTTGATATTGCCTCATATTTCAACAAAATCAAGAAATTGTGGGATGAAATTGATTCCTTGTCAATTAGTAGAGTCAGGTCTTGCAGCAATTGTGGTTTCAAATCTGACTATCAGAAAGATGATGATGTTCAAAAGGTGTATCAATTTTTGATGGGTCTCAATGATGTATATGTGCAAACTAGAAGCAATATATTCATGATTAAACCATTTTCATCTGTGAACACCGTCTTCAGTATACTACTGTTGTCAGATGAGAAGCAGAGACATGTCTCTACCTCTCCTCGGTTTCTCCCTACATCTGTCTCTTTCAATGCTAGGGTGTCTAAACAAGGATTCCCTTCCAGAATTAATTTTGATGCTCAAAGACCCCTTACATGCAAATATTGTAAGAAACCTGGTCACACCCTTGACAAATGCTATAAACTACATGGGTATCCTCCAAACTTCAAGTTCACAAAGGGGCCTGACAGTAGGAAAACTACAGCTCATGTTGAAGTGAACTCTCCTGGTCCTCTTGCTAATGTGGACTCTAATATGGGTCCTGATTCTGTCTAGTCATCTAAGTCTGGTAATGTTTCAATGGTCTCTGGTCTGACACAAGATCAATTCTCCCAGCTGATGATGTTACTGCAACAGTCCCATGTGTCTGCTGATTCCTTCTCTACTCCCACTTTAATGGCTTATGCTAATTTTGCTGGTAAGCTGTTATCAAAAAGTATTCTGCTAAAGTCATGCATGCTTTCACAAATAGATAGTTTTATTTGGATCATAGACTCTAGAGCTTCTGATCACATGACCTCTCATAAGGATTTACTTTTTAATGTGCAAACACTACCTGTACCCTTTCTAGTTTCTTTGCCAAATGGGTACAAAGTCAAAGTTCATTTAATTGGATCTTTGACTTTATTTCTAAATTTCACAATTCATCATGTTCTTTATGTTCCTTCTTTTTAATACAACCTTATTTCAGTTCATAAGCTGTTAGAACAATATAATGGAATTGTTCTGTTTACCAGAACTCTTTATGCTATACATGCCCCTTCTCTGAAGATGCCTCTGGTTCTTGGTAAACTGGACCACAATCTCTACAAGCTTTTACTTCCTCATGTTGCTTCTCCTAGTACCACCTCCTGTTACTCTTCTAGTGCGACTTCCCGTGTTATTTCCCCTTTCTATGTTTTCCCTGAGATACAAACAAATGTAAAGAATGTTAATTTTGTTGATGCTGATAAAACACATGTGAATATTGATGCAATCTTGAATAATATCAATAAAATGGATGTGGTTTGGCATTATAAGCTTAGGCATATTCCTTTTTCCAGAATGAAACACATCTATATGCTTGGGTCACACTTATCTTCCAAACAGTCTTTTTCCTACACAATATGTCTACTAGCTAGACAAACAAGATTGTCATTTTCTGACAGTAGTATACAAACCACAAAGCCTTTTCAGTTGATCCACATTGACACCTGGGGTCCATATCACTCTCTTACCTATACTGGCTCTAAATATTTTATGACCATTGTTGATGATTTTTCAAGAGCCACTTGGACCCACCTAATGGGAGCCAAAATCAATGCTTTTGACCTCTTAAAAGCTTCATTGCCATGGCTGAAACTCAATTCCAATTGAAAGTCCAAAATGTGAGAAGTGACAATGCTTTAGAGTTGGGATCCAGCACTGTTGGATCAAAGTTTTTCTCTGAGAAATGGATACTGCATCAGACAACATGCCCTCACACTCCACAACAAAATGGAGTTGTGGAAAGGGAAGCACAGACATCTTTTGGAAACTGCTAGAGCCCTTCTTTTCCAATCTGGTCTCCCTCTTAGATTTTGGGGAGACTGCATACTCACAGCCACCTTCTTGATAAATAGGTTCCCTTCTAGTGTATTAAAGGACAAGAGTCCCTATGAGATCTTATATAACTCTCCCNGACAAACTTCAGCCTAGGGCCATTCCTTGTATGTTTATTAGTTATCCCTTTGGGAAGAAAGCCTATAAGTTGTATGACTTACAGAATAAAACCTGTTTTATCTCCAGAGATGTTATATTTCATGAACATATATTCCCTTTTATTCAATCTGGATCTACTTCCCCTACTATGTCAAATTTATCATTTTTTGCCTGTTTTGATCACTCTGTTAAGCAGAATTCTTCACTGTTCCATGATTCCTTTTACCCTGCCCCATCAGTTACATCTCCTGTTTCTCCTTATCCCTCCAACTCTGCTCCTCATGACTCTGAAATATCTCTGAACAGCTCTCCTGCTCCTCCTAATCTTCCTTCTTCTTCTATAAATCTGAATTCCCTCCTTTAAGGAGATCATCTAGATCTCACAATCCTCCTTCTTATCTGCAGAATTATGTCTGCACTTTACCTAATCATAACTCTAGGTCTGCCAATTCAACTGTTATGTCTACTTCTAGTGAGCATCATGCATTTGAGCCTGCTACTTATTCTCAGGCAGCAGCTATCCCTGAGTGGCAGAATGTTATGAGAAAAGAGTTTGAGGCATTGGAGACTAATGGTACTTGGGACATAGTTGAGTTACCCAAGGGCAAGAAGCCAATTGGCTGCAAATAGGTATACAAAATTAAATACAAAGCTGATGGGAGCATAGAAAGATATAAAGCTAGGCTTGTGGTAAGGGGTGATACGCAGGTTGAAGGCATTGATTTTCATGAAACCTTCTCACCTATAATTAAAATGTCTACTATTAAAACTTTAATTACTGTAGTTGTTAAAAGACAATGGCCTATATTCCAACTAGATGTTAATAATACTTTCTTGCATGGGGACTTAGATGAAAAAGTTTTTATGAAGCTTCCACCTGGTCTTTCTGTATGTATTGTACCCCCTGCTTCTACTTCCACTCCTTTGGTCTGTAAACTCAAAAAATCTTTGTATGGATTGAGACAAGCTTCAAGGCAATGGTATGCCAAGTTGTCTCAATCTTTGTCTTCTAGAGGCTATGAACACTTCTTTAATGACTATTCACTTTTCACCAAAGGTTCTGGTGATGCTTTGGTACTCTTAGTAGTGTATGTTGATGACATTATCATCACTGGGACATGTCTGTGTGAGATTGCTGCTGTGAAAACCTTCTTCCATGATCAATTTAAAATTAAGGATTTATGCCATCTTAACTATTTTCTGGGTATTGAAGAGATGCATTCTGAGGGTGGAGTGTTACTGCACCAGAAAAAGTTTGTGTATGATCTCCTCAAAGAGTTCCATTCCTATGATTATTCTTAAGTGATATCCCCTCTTGAGATGAATGACAAGTTGCAGGCTGCTCATGGTGATCCCCTGCCCAATCCTGAGACATATAGGTGTTTAGTGGGTAAGCTCAACTTCTTAACCCACACCAGACTTGACATTTGTTTTGCAGCGCAACATTTAAGTCAGTTTATGCAGAAGCCTTGCCTTCCTTACTTGCAGGCTGCTTTATGTTTGCTCAGGTATCTCAAGGGTACTATTGATTTTGGGATTTTCTATAATAATTCTCCTGATCTTTCTCTCAGTGTCTATTGTGATAGTGATTGGAGATCTTGCCCGGATAGTAGAAAGTCCATCAGTGGATTTTTCATTTTATTAGGGGGATGTCTAGTAGGCTGGAAGTCAAAGAAACAATTTGTGGTCTCCTTGTCCTCTGCAGAAGCTGCATATAGGTCTATGAGTAAAGCTACTGCTGAAATTACTTGGCGTTGCAGGCTTCTTTCTGATTTTGGTGTTGTTTTTTCTTCTCATGTTAGTCTGTTTTGTGATAGCTAGGCAGCCATCCACATTGCTAAGAATCCTGTCTTCCATGAGCGCACCAAGCACATTGAATTGGACTGCCATTTTGTTCGCACCAAGTTGCATGAGGGTCTGCTTCAGCTGCTTCACACTTCCAGTGCCAATTACCTCGCTGATATGTTCACTAAACCTTTGGGGGGAGTTGTCCATCATCTGCATCTTTGCAAGTTGGGGGTTATCTCACCCTCCAACTTGTCGGGGGGTGTTGAGATACAAGCAAATGCAAATGCTGTTACTTAGCCACTTGGGCACTTGGGATTCTTTTCTTCTTTTATCTTCTTTCTCTCATTATTGGGCCCAGAAACCCACTATGTATTTATCTTAGGCATTGTAATTAGTTGAGTTGTGTATATAAAGACCGAGTCAGCCCATCTCATCGGGTAAGAAGGAAAATAAAGATTGTATAGACTCTTTCTGATTCTCTCAGTGAAATACAAGGAAAACCTAGAAGCTTCCATTTTTCTCTCAACTATCTCACCACGAACTTGGACAAAACCTCAATAATTTGCGCTTGAATCAAGTTTTAACACAAACAGTTTAGGGGACTACATGACGAAATTGATACAAGTTTAGAAACGTCGATTCTCTAGTGTCTTTGCTCATTCTTAAGTAAACTAATTAGAGCCTGCAGGGAGAGGTTTGTGCCTTACTCCCTGAGCTATTTTCTCAAATTAATCGAAATAGTAATACAGATTTTAGTACTGTATTTCAATGATAAAGTGGGTTGATTAATTGCATAAAGTTCGCAAAGTTAATTTGTAATCTATTACAGTTTTCTATATATTGCTTTAGTCTATTTAAACCTTGTATAATGTTTTGATTTCAGAAACATAATCGAATCAATTAGTGGTTCATTTTATTTCTAAAATTTATTAAAGTAGTGACTGTAAACTTTACCCAAACCTGTTGAAGTGCACGGATACATTTCTATAAAGGTTTCAATCTTTTACGTTCCCCTCCCTCACTATAGTATGTTACACCTCCACTCCGTCAATTTTTTATTTTAAATAACACCAAGGCAAGAAGAAAAAAGAAAAGGAGAGAGAAATACTTAGTTGAGAGAAGAGTAAAGGATGGACAACTCAGATGGCTGAAGGTGCTATTTCAGTATCATAGAAAATAAATTACCCACAAAAAACATAAGAAAAATGGTGAAACTCATAGTAGGTCTACATGACTATAAAAGCACAACGAACATTTAATTATTTTAGCAATTTCTTTCCTCTATGTCGAAATCAAATGCTATGATTTGACCGGCCAATGAAACTGCCGTCAAATATTACTTGAGGTCTGCCTCATTTTACATGCTAATTAATACCTTCTTATACATAGCACCAAACAATCTAGACAAACTTCTTTTCTTTACTGTATACGGTCGAAACCTATTATTCAGTCCGGTCGAAACCTATTATTCAGTCATACGGACTGGTCGAGATAATAATATTTCGATCAAAAGGTATCTGCGTAAGGTTAGGTCGAGGTCCGAAATAAGGGTGCCATGATTCAAGCTCCAAGACCGATCAAGGATCAACTCGGTATCATTATCGGGCTCATAACCAAATCGAACCACGAGGCAACGCGAAAGTTATCGGAGATACACAGACCGACCGACACCCACCCCGAATATCAAGACTTCGAGTCAGGATCGAGCTCGAGTCAAGGCCGATGGCTCGATCCAATATCGAGTTCGAGTCAGTATCGAGCTCGCATACAAGGACCGTTGCAACCGCACTAAGGGAGAAAATCCTGTCAGGAATCAGAAAAAAGATAATTCATCATGGGCTCTCCACTATATATTTTATTGTATATAAAGTAGGATCCCTCTACTATAAATGGGGGATTATTGTAAGCATAAGGGACATTCACACATTCTAATAAAAGACTACTTCTCCTATTGAAAGAGAAACCCCTTGAGTTTGTTTTACTTTGTCATACTCATTCTTCTTGCTCACTAATTTATATCCCGTTTCTATAGTCAAGAATCTACACATTTCCATTTTTCTATACGATTTATGTCAAGTTATATCACATATCCTTAGAACTACTTATAAATTTAACTCTACCCGATTTTTTGGGTAAACAGTTTGGCGCCCACCGTGGGGCTAAGGATAACAGTGGTTGTTTTATACAAATCTGCAACACACACCAGTTTATGACCGCCTATTGATGGCTTTACCTATCGACAACGAAGTTGGCCTTCAAGATAAAACCAATAACTTGATACCCAGGGCCGGAAGGCCACTTAACGATGTCACTGAAGCTCGAGTCGAAGTACCTGGAACTCGAGCCGAAGTACCGCTAGATGTCAATTCACAGGTGGCTCTTGAGGCAAACCAACGTTCCAACAACAACAACAATAACAACCCAGTATAATCCTACAAGTGGGGTCTGGGGAGGGTAGAGTATACGCAGACCTTACCCCTACCCCCAGAGGGATAGCGAGGCTGTTTCCGAAAGATCCTCAGCTCGAGAAGAAGAAAAAACAACGTTCTGAACCGGAAAAAAATATTCATGGCGGTACTCGATCTGTAGCTCGAGACACCCATAACGTGGAGGAGATCGGAGTCAGCTTGCGTATGATCTTTGAAATGTTACAAGCCCAACAAGTAGCGATAGCTCAGTTGCAGAGCCAAACCCAGTTACCAAGCAGGCCAGAGCCCAGTCAACCTCGAGAAATTACCCACTGAACGGAGCTAGCCATAGTAAGGTCAAACGAGCAAGAATCGGGGAATACTCCCGAAATTGCTAGAATACTTGAAGAGTTCACAAAACGAATCGAAGCCAACGATAAAAAAGTAGAAACATGTCATTCCAGGGTCGATCAGATCCTAGGGGCTCCACCAATGATAAAAGGGCTGGATTCCAAATAATTCGTACAAAAACCTTTCCCCTCGAGTGCAGCCCCAAAACCAATCCCCAAAGAATTTCGTATGCCCGAAATCCCCAAGTATAACGGTACGACCGATCCCAACGAACACGTCACCTCTTACACATGTACCATCAAAATCAACGATCTAGAGGATGATGAAATCAAATCCGTTTTGTTGAAAAAATTCGGAGAGACCCTCTCGAAAGGGGCGATGATTTGGTATCACAACCTGCCACCAAATTCCATAGACTCATTTGCCATGTTGACAGATTCTTTTGTGAAGGCACATGCCGGTGCCATAAAAGTTGCATCAAGAAAATCAGACATTTTTAAAGTAAATCAAAGGGATAATGAAATGCTGAGGGAGTTCGTGTCCCGATTTCAAATGGAACGCATGGAATTGCCACCGGTCACAGACGATTGGGCCGACCAAGCTTTCACCCAAGGGTTGAACGAGCAAAGTTCGATAGCATCACGCCGGCTGAAGGAAAATTTGATCGAGTATCCGGCAATAACTAGGGCAGATGTACACAATCGATACCAGTCAAAAATCAGGGTCGAAGACGACCAATTAGGAGCCCCTCTCGGATCCATGCATCAAAGCAAGTCGGCTATTAAAAACCAGAGGGACGTCGATAGAGAGCAGAGGTCAAACATAGACCGATATCAACCATACGTCGTCGATTGAATGAACAACGGTTCAGCACGCAATGCCTCCCAAAACCATCGAAGGAGTGATCGAGGACAGAATTCTCGGGGACTTATGAGAAAGAGTGGCTTCGATAAACATGCCGATCCTATAGAGGCACCTCGGCTATCAAAGTACAATTTCAGCGTCGATGCATCGGGCATTGTATCGGTGATCGGAAGAATCAAAGATACTAGGTGGCCCAGACCCATGCAAACCGACCCTTCTCAAAGGAACCCGAACTCGGTGTGCAAATATCATGGTACGCATGGCCACAGAACCGAGGATTGCAGACAATTAAGAGAAGAGGTAGCCCGTTTGTTCAATGAAGACCACCTTCGAGAGTTCCTCAGTGACCGAGCCAAGAATCACTTCAGAGAAAGGGACGCTAATAGAAAAGATAAACAAGAGGAACCTCAGCATATCATTCATATGATCATCGATGAGGTCGACACTCCACAGGGACCCGTACTCAAACGCGGCAAGGTACCGACCACAGGGGAGAAACGAACTCGAGGTTATGTACCCGAGGGCACTTTATCATTCGAAATTGAAGAAGCGGAAGGCATTTCTCAGCCTCACAACGACACTCTGGTAATTTTTATCCTATTAAATAAAGTTCAAGTTAAGCGTGTTCTAGTAGATCCAGGTAGCTCTGCGAATATCATCTGATCTTGGGTAGTGGAGCAGCTCGGTTTGCAGAATCAAGTCGTGCCCACAGCTCGGGTATTAAACGGCTTCAATATAGCCAGCGAAATGACTAAAGGGGAAATTATTCTACCCGTGAATGTGGCTGGAACCATCTAAAATACCAAGTTCCACGTAATCGAAGGCGACATGAGATACAATGCCCTACTCGGAAGACCTTGGATCCACAATATGAGGGCAGTGCCTTCGACCCTCCACCAAGTGATGAAATTCCCTACGTCGAACGGTGTGAAAACAGTATACGGGGAGCAACATGCTGCGAAGGAAATATTTGCGATCGATGAGGTAACACCGATACCGACGTTATCGGCCTCAGAAAGGCCGAGCACAAAAGATAGGCGAGAAACCAAATAGCAATCACAACCACCAATCTCGACCGAATCGGTGAAGCAGGAAATAGAAGATGACGAGGAAGAGTTTCCGACACCTCGAACTTTTATCGTCCCCGACTACTCCGACGCCACCAAATCGACGGTCGAAGAACTAGAGAAGGTTATATTAATCGAATATCTGCCCGAGAGAAAGGTATACCTGGGAACGGGATTGACCCCCCGAACTCAGGAAAAAACTTATTCAATTTCTTATTGATAACATAGATTATTTTGCTTGGTCCCATTTAGACATGGTAGAGATCCCACCGTCCATAACAACGCACCAGCTGAGCTTGGACCCTAGGTTCAAACCAGTGAAGCAAAAAAGAAGACCTCAGTCCGAGGTGAAGCACGTATTTGTAAAGGATGAGGTAACTAAACTTCTCAAAATAGGCTCAATTCGGGAAGTAAAATATCCCGAGTGGTTAGCCAATGTAGTTGTAGTCCCTAAAAGGGGGAACAAACTTAGAATGTGTGTAGATTATAAAGATCTAAACAAAGCATGCCCCAAAGATTCTTTTCCACGGCCTAGCATCGATCGCATGATCGATGCCACAGCTGGCCACGAGATCCTTACTTTTCTCGACGCCTATTCCAGGTACAATCAAATTCGAATGAACCCGGAGGACCAAGAAAATACTTCATTTATCACCAAGTATGGAACCTATTGCTATAATGTAATGCCATTCGGGCTAAAAAACGCAGGAGCTACTAACAACGCCTAGTGAATAAAATGTTCGAAGAACAAATAGGTAAATCGATGGAAGTTTATATTGATGACATGCTAGTTAAGTCCCTGCACGCAGAGGACCATTTGACTCATTTGCAGGAAA